CTTCTTGGCGGTCTCAAGGAAAAATGCCTTGGTCGTGCTAAATAGGAATCAGGAAGAAAAATTATGATCTATTTTCTCAGCAAAGGGTGGTAGGGGCATATATCTAAGTTACTGTTACAGGTTAAATTGTGACCCCCTAAAAGATATGTTCAAGTCTTAACCCCTCATTCCTGAGAATGTGAGCCTATTTGGAAATAGGGTCTTTTCAGATGTACCTACATCAAAATGAAGCCACACTGCAGGATGGTGGGACCCTAAAAGTCTAGAGGGAAGAGAGCCATGTGAAGACAGGGGCAGAGGTTGGAGTTAAATGTCCACAAATGAAGGAATGCCTGAGACTACCATAGCCAGGAAGAGTCAAGGAACAGCCTGCATTAGAAGGTTCAGAGGGAGCATCTTAATTTGAGAATTCTTGCCTCCAGAACTAGGAAGGATAAATGTTTGTTATTTTAAGCTACCCAGTGTATAGCACTTCTTTACTGCAGCCCTAGGACACAGATAATTACTAAAAAACAGACAGGGCATAATTCTCAATAATACATTCAAACTGCCTACGCAGAGACATAATTTGGTGAGCAACAAGGTAGATGGCCTGATAAATCTCTAACCATGCAACTCCGTCTATGTTCCAGAAGTGGATGGAAACCATTTCTGTTTTGATGCTTCCCACCTTGCTTTAGACAACAAACAAAAACTTGCGGAGCAGATATGAAAGGGACATCACTGAATTTTCTATTCACTGAGAGGACCTGGTTTCCCATAGCAATTTCATCTTATGGCTTTGAGCTTGTTGCTCTTAGTGCCCCAGTCCCGTAATCAAATCGGTACCACAGCAATGATGACAGACAGCGTTTGTGTGAATGAGACAATGCAGTACAGCCCACTCTTGGAAATACCTGTATTGGAGAAAGGCAACATAATTAAACATGGAAATATCAAAGTCTCAGGATTTCCTAGCATGAAAAAAATATTTTTACTGAATACTGCATTAGGAAACCATTAAAGTTTCAATGCAGAGACTTGTACTTATTTCTCCCTATAATTTATAGAACAAGTAAAGAGAAAATTAGTAAGGACGTGGAAGACACATTAACCAACTTGACCCAATCAACATTTATAGAACTCCACTAATCAAGAATAGACTACACTTTTTCCATATGTGAATGGAACATTTATCCCATACTGCCTTAGTACTGACCTTTATCTTCTTCTGCTTGAGTTTTCATTATAGCTTTCTATCAGGTCTTCCTATCCCAGGCTCATTCCCTTCCATTCTCTACATTACCAACCAAATTATGCTAAGCACTCACCTTTTGTATACTTGTCTGCATGGATTCATTGCCATGAAATAAGACTGTTTGGTCAAATATTTGCCAAGTGTCCTTATACCTGGATTTAAATTAGGGGCTCTCTGATTTATTCTCTGGTTAGTTGCTTAATATTTCTTGCTTTGGTTTTCTCATCTATAAAGTGGGGCTTGTAGACAGTAGGGTAACCACACCATGGGTGGTGATCATTCTCTGCTTATCAGCCTCCATTTTTGACTTGCCAGCCCCCTCACCCCCGCCCCACCCATTCCATTGCACTGGTAAAGAGTATGTAGTCTGAATTGTCATCACCACAACCAGCTCTGGTGCCATTTTTGATAACTTTCTGCTTTCCATCTAACCGAAAGTGTTGCTAAGTTGTTTCTGCTACTTTGAAATTTACTGATTGAAAGCAGGACCTTGAGACCAAAAGACCTGGATCCCTGTGTACGCATACTTGGGCTGTTTCTAAAGTATTCCAAGTCCCAGTTTCCTTATTTGTAAACATATTCCCTACTTCCCAAGATTTCTAAGAAAATTAGGAAGAATGTTTTAAAACCTCTAGGATAGTGTGTGAGTCCTTGTAGGCACCGGTGGATATGGAGCCCCCTGTCTAAAATACCCCTGGGTGCATGGTCCTTAAGCGATGCTATTTGGTGCAGATAGCTGCCGCTGGCCTTCTCTGCAGACCCAGTGCCTACTAGGAAAGTATGTCCTCTGGGTCCTGGCCTGAATATCCGAAGTTTAAAAGTTGCCTCTGAAGCAGTTTTTCAATCAATCATTTTAATGCCACCTAAACTCAAAAGTGTGCCAGCAGAGTTCACCTGCAGAGCAAAGGCTGCCAAATATGCAAAACCTTTTTTTGGGGAATATACATTTTTCGAGGACTCAATTTAATTGAAAAATGATTGATGATCCTCTTTATAGCTGTCCACATTTTTTGGCACATCCGAGGGACTGGCCGCCTATATACTCCACCTTAAGAAAAACTAATAATGAAAACATCTGAACTTGTGGAACATAGTAGACTTTGCTGCAGAGGCTTGCAGAGTGTGTGTGTCGGGGGGTGGGGGTGATAAAGGGCTGCTTTTGAGCATGTGCCTCCGTGCAATCTGATCATATGGCCCTGCAGTGTTGCCTTTTGTTTCTCTGAAAGTAGAATCATTAACACAAATGTGTTTGTGTGTGTGTGTGTGTGTGTGTGTGAGAGAGAGAGAGAGAGAGAGAGTGTGTGTGTGATTGGAGGGTTAAGATTATTCTGTGCAGGGTTTTGTAAAACCTGTAAATTCTTCCTCTCCCCTTTCCTGGCTGTAAGGCACACAGTTTTTTAGGGAGACACATGAGCACGTTCAGACCTCCAAAACTCACAGGTGATTCTGAAACATGCTTAGTGTATTTGCTTCAGCAACATTTTGGTTTACAAAATGACTTGTCAGTGATGCCATAGGGAAGGTATATAATCTAACACCACGTATGGGGAAACACAGCTAAATTTACAGTCACTCAGTTCACACCCTGGAAACACATCTACTGTCTAATGTAAGGAATGTGTGGAAGCGTGATTGTCACTACAGGCTCTCCAAAGCATTCTCTTTTTCAGTCAGACAAGAGTTGGAGGCTGGAGAATAAGGATGCTATGAGGGAAGGAGATTGCTAGAAGAAAAGGTCTTTGGGTACATACAGTGGTTCTCCCATTCTCCACCCACTTTCCATCCACAAAGTCTAGAAAGAGCAGGCTTTTCTTAGGCTGCAATTCTCACCTCTGGTGGGAATAGAGACAAGGGATCAATGGACATTTCTGGAGCAAGAAGGAAGGAAGGGCTAGAGTGAAGGGCTACTTTTGAGCCTGTGACTCTGCGATCTGATCATATGGCCCTGCAGCGTTGCCTTTGTTTCTCAAAAGGCAGCATCATTAATATAGCCTGTGTGTATCTACTTAGGTGCCTTCTGGCAAACAAGAGCATAGAGTTTAACCACCGTACACAAGAGTTCAATTGATGTCCTGCTAAACTTAAACAGGGAAGGGGATCATTTTCTTAAATGCCACTGAGAACTTGAAATTACTGTGGGGAAAATGATCTTAAACATACACCTCATATATCACAATGAACAAGATAAATATTAAAATCAAATATTTAGAAAAATTTAATTACCAGGGAGAGGAGAAAATAGAGCACTTATTCAGTCTATGGGTGGAGATAGTTTTTGATGAAAGGAGAAAAATAAATTGCAAAGGAAAAGATAGGTAGTATGATTACTCAGAAAAAAATATTGAATACAACTAATATAAAACCAAGAGAAAAGTTCGGTGACAAAATAGAAAACTGCATTCCATACATATGATGTCATTTCCAGAGTCTATTGAGTTCTTATAAATTTGCATTAAGTTCACTGTAGACTGGTCAGTGAATATGAAGACTCATTACATAAAATGAAACACCATTAGTAAATTAACATGAGAAACAGTGTGCCATCTTGCCAACAATAAAAGAAGTGCAAATTAAAACAATGATGAAATGTCACTTTATACCTCTATATTTAGCAACAATAAAGGGACATTATTAAAACTAGTGATGGAACTATTGGGGAAATTGAAACATTTATTTTTCTAGTAGCATTGTAAATCATCTCAGTCATTTTGATGAACAATCTAGCAGTTTTTAGCAAGAGTCATAAAAATGTTCTTACCTTTTTACTAAGTAATCTCACTCCAGGGTATTTGTTTTCAGGATGTAATTCAAATGAAGGAAAGCATTATGTGTTATTTATTATCAGAGAAAACTGGCTATATCCCAAATAGCCATTAATAGAGAGATAGTTGCAAAATTGCAGTGCTTTAACTTAAGAGAATTGCTTGTAGCTGATGAAAAGAATAAATATAAAGATTATTGGGATACATGGAAAAGTAATACAAAATAGTAAAGCAAAAATTGAAAAGAAAAGACATGATAACAACCATGGTAAGGTCTGAAGGCAGTGGAGCTGGCTATTCCCTATAACCTACTAAAATCAACTCACTCAGACTCCCCTTTCATGATGGGGCCTCCTCTACAGGAGAAACTCATGGCAGCTGAATAAAATTTGAACATGTTGGGAACAATTGAGGTGAGGGAAAGGGAAGGTTCAAATGAAAGTTGGAGAGGGAAATGGAGATAAGAAATTTCAGAATGTGAGAATCCACATTGCTTAACACTACAACACAAGAGGCGGATTCTGTTGTTAGAAATCTTTTGAATCATGTCTATTTGTAAAGGTTAAGTCAAATAAAACTCAATTAAAATGAGCAACACAAATGTATCAGGGTAAAATCTCAATAAGAAAAGAATAAGGAACAAAATAATAATCCCTTCAGATCATGAAAACACATCAGAAATACACCCTTTAAAAACTGATCAATATTGTAATATTATAAAACACTAAAATGTATTAAGAAAATGGCACAAAGTATCAAAGTATACTATAAATCATAAATACAGTACCAACCCCCCAATCATAAATAATAGGAAAATAAATTTTAGAAATGAAGACTAAAATAGAAGAAATACAACATAAATAAGCACTGCAAATAATGCTTTAATCTTTTTAAAAATCTTTAGCAGACAATTAAAAAGGAGGAAAGTTTTATGTTTATTTTTACCTCTCAAAATATTCTCCTATGTCTTATTATTTTTTTCTGATAATAGCTACCCTGTTGTGCTTGATTTGGCAGCACATATATTAAAATTGAGACAATGCAGAGAAGATTAACATGGATCCTGTGCAGGGGTGACATGCAAATTCATGAAATGTTCCATATTTTCTAATGATGTGGAATAAAATGCACATTGTCAGACATTTTCTAAAAAAGAGCTAACCTTTTAGCACATTTTAGGGACACTTTAGAAGATGAATGGCATGAAAATATTTTAATAAAATTTTAATAAAAATAAAAATAAATGAAGAGATGAAATAACGAATGAAAACAGCACAGATGGAAGGCAAGCAAAAAGAACTAATGGACAGATGACAGGAGTTCCTGAAGGAGGAATACACATACGGGAAAAGAATAAATAAACATACACACACAAATATATATAATTAAACTATACACCCACTGCACACACTGTGCACCTTAGAATATTGCTCATAGTGACAGTAAAATTACTGGGCTCTAAAGAAAAAATTATTTTTGGTATTGTGGATATAGACAGCAAGGATTATAAGAAAAAATAAAATCAGATTACCATCAGACTTAAATAATAGTGCTTTATGAACAGGGGAATTGAATAATTTTTGATAGACAAGGAAACCTATATGTCAAGATTTTTATATCTAGCAAAACTGATTTTCTTGTACAAATTGTTGCCAACATGTAGTAACTAAGGAAATACAGTTATGTGTTTGTATAATGGATCAGTAGGTGATTTTGTCCTTGTGCAAATGTCATACAGTTTACTTACAGAAATTACACCTAGATGATAGCCTGTGTCATGCTTATGCTATATGGTATGTTACTGTACTGAATACTCTAGGCAATTGTAACACATTGGTATTTGTGTATCTAAATATTTATATAGAAAAAAAGCACAGTGAAATATGATATAAAAGATAAAAAGTGGTGCATCTGTGTAGGGAACTTACATGAATGGAGCTTGTAGTCTAGAAGTTGCTCTGAGTGAGTCTGTAAGTGAGTGGTGAGTGAATGTGAAGACCAAGGTCATTATTGTAGACTATACTAGACTGTAAAGAGTGCATATTTAGTCTACACTAATTCCATACAGTTTTTTATCTTCACTAATAAATTTAGTCTACTGTAATGATTAGATTTTAAATACTTGAAATACTTTAACTTTTTGACTCTTGCAGTAACACTTAGCTTGAAACACACATTGTACAGCTTTACAAAATTTCTTGATATCCTTATTCTGTAAACTTTTTTCTATTTTTAAAATTTAAAATTAAATGTTTCTTTGGAATATTTTATTTTTTTTTAACATTAAGAGGCAAGCACATACATTAGCCCAGCCCTACACAGGGTCTGGATCATCTGTATCAGTGTATCATCCCCGTGTCCTCTCACTGGGTGTGATGGTGGGGGATCTTAGGGGCAATACTTGGCATGGAGCTTTCATATCATATGATAGTAGTGTTTTCTAGAATATTTGAATATTTCCTTAAGGCTGCCACTCTTCTTGAGGAGGTATCATTCTTTTCAGAAATTTATACATGGTGGGGTGGTTTGCTTGTTTTTGTTTTTTTTTTTAAGTATAGATTTGCTTGTAAGTGGATAATGCTTGTTGAAGCCTATAAAAGCTTCTGCTAAGAACTTTACTGTGAATTTTCCTTGGAGTTCTTTTTATTGTCCAGCATTGTCCTTTTGTCTTGCTGCTTCTCCAGTTACACATTCCTGTTCCAGATCCAAAGATTCCTTAGCAATAGTCAGTTCCTGTAGCAAAGAATGTCATCTTCATCCAACCCAGGTTAAAGTTTTTTGCCATCTCAGTCACAGCCTTGTTGATTTTTGCAACTTCCTTTGAAGTTATGGACAAACCTCTTGAGTGTCTTCTAGATGAAACTCATACACTCTTGGTGACATCACCCCACATCCAAGAAAGGTTCTTGTTGCATTATAGGTGTTGAAATCTTTCTAGAATTGCATTAGTGTCTTCCTGAATTGTAGCAATAGCCTGGGCAAAGATCCTCCTTTACACCTCCTTCAGATATTGTAAGCTGATATAACTCCTTTGTGGGTTCCTATGAGCTGGCCACTCTGAGCAACTGTGACCTATTTGCTATCTGAAAATCATAGCAGAACATTCCTTGACTATCTACAGACTGTAGCCCATGTCACGAGGCAGGCAGTTGACCTCATTATGTGACTCATTCCATGGTGGTCTCAGGATAACTGCTGTGATAACATCAACACACATACTTTTCTGGTGCAAATGTCTCTTGATGAATGGTCATGATGTTGCCTTCTCTGTTTTTCATAAACATTTGCCCCACCTTGTCCCCAGACCTTATTCCTCATATCATTGTCGCATGATCAGCTTTTACTAGCCTGTGTGCTTTCAGTAAATGGCACAAGAACTTCTGCTCGAGTGGCAGAGCCTTGCCTTGCAAACCTGCTCCACAACTGTTGTGTTCCTCATCGCGTTTCCTGCTGCAAAGGGGCAACAAATTTCCTGTCACAACACTCCTTGATCCATTGTTTGGATTGCAGAGGTGGTCTTTGGCTGGAGAAACACCACTTTGATATTGGGATGATCACTAATACTTCCCTGTTTTGTTGGCCTATCAATTCAGGAGGGCATCTTGGAAGAGGTGCTGAGTCCTCCATGACTTCTTATTGCTCCTATAGTGCACTGGCAGTGTGTGCTAATTGATATGCTTCTCTCTGTGCTCCATCACAAAAGGTTTAATTGTAGCCTACAGCATGACCCCCCAGCAAGACTGCCGTCCTGTCCTTAAAAGCCTTGAAACCTGGAATTGACTTCGCCTCCTTATGACTGAATGTCCTTTTAGACATCTGTTTTGAAAATAGGGAGTTTTCATCCATATTGAAGATTTGCTCAAGCAAATAATTTCCCCTCATAATCAACATATATAGAGTTTCCAATAACTTTTTGGTTGCCTTTACATCAGCATTCTCATGTGATGAATAACAATTCTTGAATCATTTAAAACCCCCAGAGCTAGCAATAAATTCCATGTGGTAGTCAGGTCCAGTCTTTCTGTTCCACATTACAAACACACTTTTTGCTTTGATTGTGATTCTGACGGTGCTGAGAGGAATACACTCTATGTCAGGTCTTCAATCTAAGTCAACCTAGAAGTTTCTCCATATCTGATCTAGGCCCTTCTGGAATTTTTGTTAGTCTCGTTGGTTTCAATGAAGGAGATCCCTTAACAGCTTCTGTCACTTTGTTCTTGAAGATCACAGTGATGGTGGAGTGGGGCATGCTTGAGTGCTAAGCAATAACTACGGCTGTTTTTCAACGTTTGTGGTCCTATTTCACCTTTAATTTGGTTTCTGGGTCAATCACTCGATGTGGCCTCTTTCTGGCTCCATTCTGGATTTTGTAAGGTTGGGGACCAGGGTGAACAAAACAACATGAGGTGAAATCAGGCACAAAGGAAAACGATGTTAGTGAGTTGTGGCTAACATGAGATGAGTGATGCTGCTCCTGGTGGAAAACGCTGTGATATTCAGATGGTTGTGGCACTACTAGGCAATAGGAATTTGGGGACCACCTTAGTATCTGTGGTCCAGCATCATTAGGTGATGCATGCCTGTGTCACTATAAGCCCCTTGTGAAGAAAAAGAATGGAGAATAACCTTAAGGTAACCGAAATATCTCTGTTTCATCAGAGGCATATCTAAGTAAGGCTTATTGGCGAGCATTAAATATATAGCTACTCCTAGAATGAAGTCTAAATGAGAGCAAAAGGGGAAATTGAATGGTATGGCTGTGTGCTAAGGCATTGTAGTTGTGGTATAACCATGAAGCAAATGGGAGAAGAAAGGGATTCATACATGCAGATGTTTAAACTATTCAGTGGTCATATTGGTGGAGGCAGCAATAGTATTGTTATGCAGATACTACTGTGTGTGCTAGATGGGAAATGCAAACAAGTTACTGTGGAATATTCTAAGTCATGTATTTTCCCTGGGTCTAATATCGCCCATGAGGGCAAAAAATAATCTTTGGAGAGTGAAAAAGTCTGGCATAGAATTCACTTATTGGCATAGAATTCAATTATTGCCCAAAGACTCTTCCCTGGGTGGGGTGGGGTGGTTCAATATGTTATTGAACATATTTGGCGCTTGTTTAACTTCTGTTCTGCCAGAGACAATCAAATGGGACAACCATAGCTCATCAAAAGCAAATGGGGCAAACATTGGCTAATCCACAGCTTAAAGGGAAAAGCTTGGGAATGAGATATCAAGAGGGAGTGAAAAAATTCACCATTTTCCTGGGAATCTAATAGGACACACTCACTTGTAGGGCTGCCCATGTGCTTAGTGACGACTTGAGTAGCTCCTAAACTCTTGCTGTCGAGGGGCATTCATTCTGTGCATGAGGAGAAAGGGAACACTAAGGCACAGTTCAAGAGTGCTGAGTGTTGCAAGCATGTGCCACAGACATGGGGAGCCTCTAGGAGAGAAAGGAAGACTTAATGGCTCCATGCATTTAAATTTCCATCTGTTCAGTAACGGGTCAGTCAGCTGACCCAGCAGAGATGGCAGTGACCACACACAGCAAAGATTGCAGACTTTAAAGAATTTGTTCAGAACATTCAGGAAGCCAAGGACAGTATCTGCAGACGTGGGGATGTATGCAAAACTTTGTAAGTGTACTAAAACTTACTGAATTGTACACTTAAAATGGTAAATTTTTTAGTATGAGATTTTTATCTCAAAAATATTCCAGCAGGTTAGTGAAAATCAAATTATGGGATGTGATCATTTTGAAACTGAGCACCAGTGACTGTTCACAATAAAAAAGAGTCCCTGAGGGCCTCCCCAGTGGTGCAGTTGTTAAGCGCTGGGCTGGGAAGCTGTCTGCAGCCTCTGCAGTGCCAGTTTGATCCCCGGCCACGGGCAAGGGTCCCACATGGTGCGCAGACCTCTCCTGCCACGCCCACTGCTCCTCTCAGCAGTGTATTTCGTCAGTCTGCCTGTTCTGTTCCCCACTCTGTCTCTGGTGAATCCTCTCACCCTCCCGTGCATCTGGCTGTACCCCAGTTCTTGTGTAAATGAATAAAAAATTCTTTTAAAAAAAAAGAGTCCCTGAGACTGATCAAGACCCAAGATGCC